ACACAAAATAATATATAAATTTGGTTCCACGCTGGTGGCTATGAGGTTTATCAATTAGATTTACGTGATGAGACTGCAGATACATAATGTTATATTCGTAAACATTCGATTTTACTTCATTTGTCGGGGAATAACAGGCGTCATTTCAAAGAAATGTTGTTTCAATATATTATGTAGAACGTGCTCTCACGTTCACTTATTTATTTACACCACACACATTATTATAAATAATGCCAAGAAATAATGATCTGTTAAGTATACTAATATTTAGCCGCAAAGACTATGAAAGATAAAATTTTCTCAGAAATAACTAATCATTGTTGAAATAAGGATTGACCTGCAAAATAATAATATGTTATATACTTATTAAACATCTTATAAATGTGACATAAAAATACGTCACAGCGATTTCAGTATCTTTCAGATAAGAAAAATGCAATTATCAGTGCTAACTGCCGGTATACTAAACTTTGATTCAAACGATAAGGCAATATGAATTGTCAATAATCTGTATAGAGGGTCATATGAGCTTAACCGGATTAACAGATCATCTTGTTCACATGAATGTTTCGATTAGATTATACACTTGGTAGCAAAGGAACGGAATCATCCAACCCAGTAAAACTTAAAAAAACACTCTTTTAGGACAAAATGCTCTCATTTTTACCGACTTCAAAAAAAGGAGGAGGTACTATGTTCGACTGATTGTTTTTTTTTTGTTTGTTCGCGCAGTACTCCGCCATTTGTGAACCGATTTCTAAAATTCTTGTTTTGTTTGAAAGGGTATACTCCCGAGATGGTCCCATTTCCGATTATTTGAGGTCAGGATCTGATGATGGGATCCTAGGGAAACCGAGGGGAACTTTCAAAAATTCTATGGGCGAGTAATGCGTATATTATGTTTTTCAATTAGTACGATTTTTAAACACTACAATTTGATAAGGGTCTGGATGTCATACATATCATACATATCATAATGATATAACTTACTGTCCACAAAATTGTGAATTAGGTACCTATTAAGGTTTTAATAAATAATTTTGTATGGAACTTATGGCACCGACTTTTTACCTATCAGTGGGTGGGTAACCTATCAGTACTAATAATAGTTATTTTTTGCTTTTTAGTTTTGACTGTTTGTTTGTTATTAGTTTTTAGTTTTTTGAAGTCGGTTTTTAAACGCAGTTTTTATTTTATAAAGGTAACTAAATTGCCTTTTACACAATTTACGTCACCAATTAATAAAGTAATTGTATTAGAAAATATTTATCAAGAAATGAAAAAATAAAACTGCGTTTCAAAAAACTGACTCCAAAAACCATGAACGAGCAACCAAATAATTATTGTTATTCATTGTACTGCCTACCCACTGATGGTTTAGAACTCGTTGCCCCAAGTATTATTCAAAATTGCATTAAAGTCTAATTGTAGATACTTAAGTTTATTAAGTTGTTCAAAAGTATCGGTATGTTATATTTTAAAAAGAATCACTCAAATAGGTTTATAATCCTCGACGTAATCAGTGTAAGTACATACATAGAACAAAAAGCAACAAAAACACTGGCCGAATTGAGAACCACGCCCTTTTTGAAAAATCGGTTAAAAAGAAAAAAACGGTAGTGGCTCTGTTTCATCGATCCCAAGTGTATTATTTACTCGATTTCACTACGAATTTGTATCGGTAAAGTGCACCTTTATGTGTCCCTACAATGGATAATGCAGCTTGCAATTAGTTTTGCTTTTATTCTCACTTTCCGGTCTAGTTACCATGGACATCATAATTGGTTATGGATGATCTGCGGCCCTTTGTGATGATAGCAGGTACCAAGCCTGTATCTAGCTTGAGTTTTAGTGTTTATGAGCAATAAATAAGTAAGTACTTATCGGGCTCATTTTTGTACATAAGGCAGCTGATTTAGACGCAGTAAATATAACAAAGCTTTTAATTTAGTATTTAGACATCACTTGAGACTTGAGGTTCCATAATGATAACAGCTGCTATTATTATTATTATTTCGAACTTGTCTTAACAAATAAGTGGGAAATGAATGTTTTACTTCATACAAAAAATCTCCTGCAGCTTATTCTTTTAAGAACATGAAGATAAGTTTTAACACGTATTTTTGAAGGAAACAAATGAAATTGTCAAATTAACCCTTGGGGTGCCTGGTGGGTCTGACAGACCCATCCCCTTAAAGAATCGACAATATTTTAGAAATTTCGTAATTACCGCCGCTGTATGCCTAAGTAGCTTCGTGATATGGACTGGCGGCTAGATTGCCGCCCCTCCAGCAATCCACAACGCACACGCGTTCAGTCTAGTAACACGTGTTTTATGCGCTCTCGGGTCTGAGAAACCCGACCAGGCACGCGGCGTAACTTTTAACTGGTAAGTTATTATTTTTGTTTTCATTATTTATTTTGCATTGTGTGGTAAATTATTTATCTGTATAATATTTTCGCAGTTAAATATGGCCAGGCGATTAACCAATACCGAAATAAGCCAAATTTTAGATCAAGATCCATGAAATTGAGGATGACGTGGTTTCCGATTAACCTAAGGAAGAGAATTAGCTCTCATAGAGGAAAACTCTCAGAGACTCCAGCTAAAAGACAAGATGCTGCTCTAAAAAGACGTTGTTACATATGCCTTGCTAAAAAGGGCCGTAAATCTAAGTACATTTGTATTTCTTGCACAGGTCATATTTGATTGGAGCACGCAAATTTATATGCGAAAATTGTCGCACAAATACTGAGTTAATCTTACTTTAGTAACCAAAGTTTATTCATCTATGCCCTATATTAATGTTAAGACTGATTTTGATCTCAATTAAAAAGAGTTTAATATTGTTAATTTAAAGATATGTTATTGTTACCCAAAAATCAGAGATTTTTTATTTGCTTAAGTAATAAAACTTTATTATAATATATTGTCGTCTTTTTTTCTGTTTTTTCATTAATATATAATATTTAATATAAATTACAAACTGTTTATTATACTTTATAACATCAAAATAAATAAAAATAGCCATTTATATTTACGGGTCTGTGAGACCCACCAGGCATGCCATGTGATTTTTACCTACCAGGCTCCCCAAGGGTTAAGATTAGCCTTCAGCATCATGAAAATTTGACACAAGGTAACAGATAAAATTAGATTCCAGAATGTGCTGTGGATATCCCCACGATAGGAGGATGGACAGATAATGATGCCATTATCAAAATGTACTTTATCCATACTGATAAAAGAGTACTCATCTCTTACCTCTTAACTCAAAAATGACAATGCAGGCAAGATAAAGAGCATTATTATGCCTGACATTTCCTGAAAGTGCGTTAAGCATTGTTGAAAGATGAAACTTGTTAGTAGTAACAAATACATATTTTTTATGTTTTATAAACCGACGTTTAACCACTTAACTGACATACCTACATTAACAAACAAGGATTAAAAATTTTGTAACCAAAATCACTGACTTAATAATTCTTGAGGCTGAAACCTAGGTTTCGATGGTTTACTGTTGCAAATGAACTGATATATGAAGCATAATGCAATTTATAATTAATAGTCGTGTGTTGTCAAAAATTAAATTTAAATTAAAAAAAAAAAATCACTATTGGTAATAAATATGAATCAAACAGATTTACATTATTTACAATTATGCTAATATTATAAATCTGAAGCCACTGACAGAAACTAGTGCTACTATGATTTTGAAAGACATGAAATAAGTCCTAGTCGAGTTCCTCGTCAAATAATTACGTGAGTAAGCCGAAAACATAATAATGGACATGAAATAAATTGCGCAATTTTTTCGTTATCCATGGTATGCACACCCATACGGAAAATGACTCAATTTTAAGCCGAAGTCATTCGATCTACTCACTTAACTAACATTCCTTTAGTGATATCGATTGAGTTCATGAGACAAAGCGATAAGATTTCGATGACATCTGTCAAATTTTAGTACAAAGCTAAGAAATACACGAACGTTTTTAAATCAAGTATGATGATTACCATTTATTTGTTATTGAATCTTTCATTTACGTCATCAAAACCCCATGACAATATATTTCTAGGTTATCCTACTTATGGGGCCTAACATAATGTCCACGCTCGACAACAAGATCTACAGTACCTACTACCTACTGGTACAACCATGAAAACACTGGTACACTGATGTCCGGCACGTCTCCGGGCGTGTTCAAATTAATATTTCGTCAGATGTCTCCTTTTTTGTAGAATAAGCGGGTAAACGAGCAGATATATTACCTGATGTCAAGCAATCGAGGTCGCCGATGGACCCCTGGAACACCAGAGGCATTACAAGTGCGTTACCGGCCTTTTAGATATTAGGAATTTCAAGATTGTTGGGAATCTAGGGATTGGGGAGATTGGGGAAGGGGTAATTGGGCCTCCTGTAACTTCAGTGTTGTTTCACGTCGGTTTTCTATGATTTTACAATAATAATTACAAATAGTCTTCAGCTGTTTAATCCTGACATGACATTATTTTAGTTTTCTATGAAATTCGTGTGCGTCATTTACTTATTGTGTACATTTGCTTGGGTTTTAGTAAAGTTTATTGGCAACGTATTTAAAAAATATAAACAATTTATTGACAGATAAAATAATAAGTATTTACTACTATGAACTTCTAATTCAAGGCGATTATACTTTGTTAATAAGTCCTACCATTTATCTGCTGATTGTATCTCATTTATACAGAACAATTCACATCAACTAACTGCGAAGCTTTAAAGCAATCAATGAACAAAAGGTCTCGACTTTTCTAGAAGCTTAACCGCTTCATCCTCCGTATTCGCAATTCTGTCAATTAAATAATCCTGATACGAATTGTATCTGTCCATGACCTCTGCTGCTCTCAGTATATAAGGATGACTCTGTCCCCCAACCGGCAGTTTATCTCTGACGACCGTCCAAGCACGAGAGGCGTACGACTTAATTTTTATACCAAAAATATTTTAGTATAATCCAAAATGCTTAAATTCTTGATCCTCGCGGTTGTGGCTGTTGCCATCGCCGAATCTCACGAAGGACCCTGCCCAGAGGTCAAGCCGGTTGAGAATTTCAACCTGACAGCCGTGAGTATTTTTTTTTATTTTCTCTTATAATGTCGAATTTCGTTCAAGATACTTGTAATAATAGACTTTTTTCATAAAGTCGTTGATTAAATCTAGTTTATTAGCCACCGGTGTAACGCATATCAGTTCACGGAAGAACAATGTGATTTTTAAAGTTCACTCTGAAAAAATCTGTTTTTGGTTAATATGTAACCATATAATTTAAATAAAATCCGGTATATATTATATTAAAGGATTCTTATTTTACCTCTAGTATTATTAGCATTGTCTGGAACGTCCGTCCATCAAATATATACACATATGTAAAATATTCTATCATAATCGGCTTAGAAACATAAGTAGACGTTTTATACCTCTAACTACACTTATTTACTTTACTAGGAATGTCAGTTATTATGTCATATTATATCTAATAGGATTTGTTGGTTCGCGTTTATTTGCATAATTAATTTGCTGTCTATTGCTAAATACACTTTTGGCAAACACCTCGAAGTTTAATGTTTACATTGAACGCTTGACTATTGTGAAACCCAAAATTATAAGCATATTAGAATATGTAGAGATATTTAAAACATTAAAAAGTCATAACAACCAAACATATAAAATTCCGTACACATCTTGTACCAATTAGGTGGTGTCTGAACAATCCTTCATAATTAATCCTCTGTATGAGCAAATGATTTTTATGTTCATACTATCATGATTGCGAAAGTCTATTGATTCGAATTTCTTTTGCGTCACTACTAAGCCTTTTGTGGTATGGTTTTTGGAAGCAACTAAGTTTTTAGACCACGCTGGCGAAGCCATGGTTATAGCCACGTAAACTAATATTTACAGTAATGTTAACATTACCAAAATGCTTGAAGAAAAAATATAGTCCCACCTATTTACGTTTACAAGACTACATAACACAATAGGGTAAATGACTATTTTTTATTGTAATGTCCGTCTGGTAGATTATTTAAAAACATTGGGCACGTATTTTTATTTCCTTACGGAAACAAATTAGTATTTTCGACGATATATGAATTGAAATACCGCGTGATATTACTTTTGTGTCCGTTTTACATTAAAAAATGACGTAACTGGCTATCCCACTCCAAAACTTTTATTCATTTTATCCAAAATTGTTTTTTTATACGATAAAATAAATTTTTAGTTTTCATTCCCATCGATTTTTAATCATCCCTATTCTAGATATCGTTTTTAGTAGGTAATATTAATTTCAAACGCTGAAAAGACCAATAATACTTTAACCAACCAGGGTGAGCCTGACAGTCAACACAGAATGTAATCCCACATATCTAAGTTGACAAACAAAAAACGTACAAAAATTCTCTGCCTATTCAATAATACGTATCGAACTCGAGACCCCTGGTTCAGCAGTCATTTTTGAAACACTTTTGCTACAACAACAGTTGTTAGAATAATTTATCTTAAAATTAAATTACATAACATACTACCACGCCTTTTATCCCCGAAGGGGTAGGCAGAGGTGCACATTATCCCATTTAATGCCACTGTACAATGTAACACCCACTTTTGACTATATGTAATAGGGGGTGAGCCTATTGCCATAATAATATACCGGGCACAATTCCAGACTCCGTGCTACCACTGAAAATTTTATAAAAACCCAGTAGTACTTTGCTCGACCCAGAAATCGAACCCGACACCCCTTGCCCGGCAGTTGAACTTGCGACCATTCGGCCAACGAGTCAATAAAATTAAATTATGTATTAAAAAGTACAATTTGGCTTATTATGTAGATACCCTAGCTTGATAACATTTTGGTTTCCGAGGCCAGTAATCATAAGCAAATAAATAACAAATTCACGATAATTTTGTGAAATTCATGATAAAGCATTTGTTGTTCAAATGTTTGTTCTTTTAAAAACGTTAGGTATTTACTGATAAAGATTTCTTTTAGTCCAAAAAGTCATTGTTTCCTCCACGCTACGGTTCTCTGCTCAACACTTTGTGTGATCCACAAATTGTTTTTTCTGGTCCGGATGTCTTGTGGATGTGAATTTGTATGCTTGTAATTGCATTACAGTAAACGCACGCACAACACGAGAGAAAATTCTAGTATAGGGCAACGTTTTTTCGACAACAGAAACCGAAATAATATAAGTGGACCATACAAAGAATTATTATCATTACAAGCGAAAAGTGAAGCCGATACACATTGCGTATCAGTTGGTAGGTCGGCCGTTACTAACTGCGACTATACTATACCCTTACAGACCAGCTAACAATATGCTTAATTTTTCCTATATGCATTCTTATGTATCACTTACTTAAGAACACAAGCTAAGTAACTGTTGCTAGGTTATATCTACGTCCCGCACCGACTCGTAATCTGTTTACCCTTTTCCTAAAAAAACAGGTGCGATGTTATCTACGCAAACTTATTTGGCATGAGTAATTATATACAAAGAGGCTTATCTGTAATGGTGATCTCTTCCGGACTAACCTATGTACGTAGGTATGTGGTACTTAGGGACAGTCACTCAAGTTTCGGTGTGTTACAGTGAATAACACAACATCGCGCCTTTTATCTCCGAAGGGGTAGGCAGAGGTGCACATTAGTGCAATTAATACCACTGTACAATGTACTACAATGTACCAGAATGTACCTATTTTAAACTATTAACATATGTTATGAGTCCCATGTAATAGAGGGTGAGTCTATTATTATATACCGGGCACAAGCCAGATTCCGTGCTACTACTGAGAATTTTTTTCAAACCTTGTAGTACTTTGCCCATCCTGGAAATCGAAACCGAAACCTTTTGTCCGGCAGACGCACTTGCAACCACTCGGCCAACGAGGCAGATAATATAATAAATACTCAAATTATATTTTTGGTTATAATTGAGTCAACAAAACAATGTAACCATAAATTGTATTGGGAACATGATTGAAAAAGAGTAACCTTAGGAGTTTCTTGCTCGTTGTTTTCTATAGGAATCTACACTTTGGAACGAGCAAATAGCTTCACTGTTAGTTATATTTTTGTTAATATTTTAATATTGATTTAACGTTCAAAGTTCTTTCTTGGTCCAGTTGTGACAAATAATTTTGACTTTGACTACATACAATAAAACATTATAAACTTATAACGCCAACGTTTATTTTATTGCATTTATGTACTACATTCATCTATTTATTTATGCAAGCCAGTCCAAAGTCTCATATGTTGATAATTTCGATCAATAGATAATTTTGTAATAAAATAAAATTTCATTATGTTTTAAGGTGTAAATATTTTAGTTTTAATTATTTATTTCAATAGTAAGACTCCTATATAATAAAAAAAAAAGTTTCTTAACTCGTCGAGTACCGGTTTTATAGACACAATTAAAGAACAATAGGTCGCGGTCACCGGTGACCGCTTGGTGTTTGACAGTTTAAATTGATAAGGTGATGTTTTGGTTATTACAATATTGAACCGTCCATTCCAGAACGAAACAATGTCATTTTTGTTGAAAGTTTCGTTCCTATTCAAAACACGTCGTTTTAAATAGGAACTTCGACTATAGGTACTTGATGTTGTTAATGAAAAAAAACCGAACGACTTTTTTGTCGTACCTGTGATCCGTGACATACAAGTACTAGGACTACAATGCAGTAAAAAATGAGATACAAAAACAAAAGCAAATAGATACCTACTACCTATTAATTAAATTCATCAGACAGCGCACGGAAAATGTGACAAAATACAATGTAGCCTAGATTCAAGATCAAGGCCACTTAGTTTGACCTTAGTCCATTAGACTAGATGATTCACACAAATAATTTGTCGATAAGCGTTCAATTAGTTGCGGTGCGCCCGCACAGATCACGGAATTGAATGATTAAGAGTTACTTGTTGACAATACGACACAAAGTTGTCGACGAACTGTGAAGGACGAATGCCTTGTTTAATATTATGTCATAGTTTGTATTATTATTCTACCTTATTTATACTAAGGTCGTGAATGTAAACTGATGGCTGTATAACACATTAGGTTTTGGACAATTACTGTGATTTTAGCTCAATGATAAGTACATCATTCGTTATGACTATTCATAGATTTGGACGGGACATATAGGTTCATATTATTATGCCTGTGCTTAGGCGTTTCAACCTATTATAAAGAACAATTTAGAAATGTCATAAATGTGTGTCTATAAGTCAATAAAAGAGTCCAATATTTATCAACAATGATAGTGCTACATACGCCAAAAAGTCAGAATAATAATTAATTCCTTTTTGTTACAGTACCAAGGGGTTTGGTATGAAATTTCAAAGCTGCCAATCGCTTCTGAGGGCAAGGGTGCTTGTAGCCAGGCTGAGTACACAGTAGACGGTGACATCGTCAAAGTAAAGAACACCCATGTTATTGATGGAGAGCAGAAGTACATCGAAGGAACTGCCAGATATGCTGATGATGCTAACAACGCTGCCAAGTTCGTCGTTTCCTTCAAATTCGGAGGTAAGAACTAGATCTAGATAAAATAATTTGTTAATTGTGGATCCAGAATCATATTTACCCTGTAGCGTTGCTGATACCTTTCTCATTATTAGGAATTAGAAAAAAATTTATAAGTAGTTTGTTTTTTCGTTGACTGCATCGTTGGCCGAGTGGTCGCAAGTGCTTCTGCCGGGCAAGGGGTCGCGGGTTCGATTCACGGGTCGGGCAAAGTATTACTGAGTTTTAAAAAAAAATCTCAGTAGTAGCACGGAGTCTGGAATTGTGCCATATGGCAATAGGCTCACCCCCTATTACATGGGACTCATAACATAAATAGTGAAAAGTGGGTGTTACATTGTACAGTGGCATAATGTGCACCTGTGCCTACCCCTTCGGGGATAAAAGGCGTAATGTTATGTTATGTTATGTTATTTGTTTTTTTCGAAATATTAAACCTGCCTACCATTTTGTTCAAGGTCAAAACTTCATGTATTTTATTTACCTATTTTATACTATGTTTCTGACAGATTTCGTTTCTCAATCTCCTCTGCTGATCCTGAAAACCGACTTCAACAGCTACTCCGTTGCCTACAACTGCAAGTATGATGAGAAGACCAACTCACACAAAGGTACGTGTATTTTTCTCTTTCTTTCTTTTCAATTTGGTAAAGGATAGAAATATCTCAATGGTTTACTATATGCTATCTACTCCACATTGTTAATAAATACATGCTCTAAAAAATTTTTAGTTCCTGTACTGGGTTCAAGTCACACCAGTGCCTTTAGCCAAACGCCACTTTAGCGCTTGTCTACAGAGAGAGTAGAAAACTAAATGTATGGGGATGACACTGACAAGTGTCAAAATTTACGTCAATCCCATATAATTTGGTTTTCTATTCGACATGTAGACAAGCTCTAAATGGCATTTGGCTACAGCTGCAGGGGCCAATAATCATGATTACGCGTTGCATGCGCGACGGTGACGTCGATGTCAAGCATGCTTTTGTCTATGTTTTCATTATAGTACATTCAAAAGTTTATTTTACCAGAAGAAGTAGTTTATAGACAAATCTATGAAAAGTTAGTGGTATAAAAGAATCGCTTTCATTTTGATATTCTCTTATTTTGTTTTATCAGCCAGGTAATAATATTATTATGATTAAAACAATAACAAATAATTTTTCTACATAGATTATTCTGATTCAATTAGAAAGCCATCTGATTCATATAACCTTGATCAAATATCATAAAGTAGACCAAGGACCAACATGTATGTATATCTTATCTGTTTGAAAATATCAAAATTGGTCGAATCGATTTTTTGTATTGCCCAATAATTATTAAAGTAACTTAGGTCTTTTATTACGCCTCTTGTTATATTTCGTGTAAATACAATAACATATACAACATGTAACGTAATTAACGCACACCCTCAAACACCCCAATTAGAATATTATGTTATAATCATAATACATACACAAAAATTTTAATTTAACATGTATATGCATCCTTACCGTTTTGTCATAACGTTTATTTTTCTTTATTTTGTATTGAATGATATAATTTGTATGAATACAAATAAAACTGCGATTTTAAAAGTCTTATTGCTTTGACTTACGATCCATTACGATTTGTATTAACAATACAGGGTTAATATGACAATAATTTCCGTAGTTTTAATTATTTTTGGGATAAAAAATTACCTATACTAAAAATTATATGAATCGATTCAGTTAACGATTTTGAACTACTATTTTCAGGATGTGCGTTATTTAAGTTACATGTTGTATAACTGCATACAAAAAGAGGTGTTCCTAACAAATATTATGGTTCTCTATAGCTTATCAAGTTGCATATATTTATTATTATTATTAACAAAATCTATACAGAACGAGTCCATTTTAAAGTTCTTAGTGTAGTTTTCGAATGAAAGATAAAAAATATAACATCCGCTAAATCATTCTTAAGACGGATGTAATATCGGACGATATCTCACCAACACAAAGAGACATACCTTATTTTGTGTATATGTCAAGATAACGAAGTTATAAAGCGAATAACCGAATAAAATATAGGTAATACCAATTGTCTTATCAATTTTATCAACAGTCGTCAACAAGAAAAAATATTTCTGAAAATAAACATCTTAATAGTCACGTTGTCGCACACGCTGAATTATTGTAGATAAGAAGATTATGTTGCACGCACATTTACATATCGATAGAGACTATTCTAGATTTATTTTTGAGTCATTAATATTTAATATTTATATTTTAAGGATTTAGTAAATTGTAGCTATAGTTATTAGTGCTATAAAAGTCACTATCAAGTATTAGTAGTAGTAGTGTGTTATGGTTTAATGCATTTTATCAGTAATTTTAAATACTGTTAGTCTTATTGGTTGTGTGGCCACAAGCGTCATTGCTAAGCAAATCGGTTAACCATAAAACATTTGACTATAAAATGAACTAAAACACTCTGTGATTACGTGTCGAACACATTCCATTATAATAAAAATTAAAGATGTTGACTAGGATGTCAATAGCCTATAAGTGGCCACTGCTGACTGAAGACCTCTTCTCACATTGAGAAGGTTTCAGCATTTATCCCCACGCTTGCTCAATGCAGGTTGGTAATTTCAAACTTATAATTTGAAATTATTAGCCCTGGTTTCCTCACAACGTTTTCCTTTGCCGTTTATCAGTCGTGTCTAAACAATCTTAGACAGTACATATATCTCGGTAAAAATAACATTGGTCCTTGCCAATGGTACGTTTCTAAACCGCGCCCTCATGCATGAGAAGCGGACGTCACGGCTAGGATATGTTCTTGTTGAATTCTCGGGTTGAGCAAAGAGCAAAATAGTATTGCAATTTTTTTTTTAATTCTCACAGTAGCGCGGGATTCTGGAGTTGTGTTCGGTATATGACAATAAAATCACTTCGATTTACATAATTCATGAAAAGTGGTCGTTACCTTTAACGCACACCTCTGCCTAATTCTTAATCCTTCAATCTTTTGGAGTATAAAAGACGCGATATACGTGATGTTATGTCATACTATCTTCATTGTTAGTATTAAAGTATTAACCAGATCACACAATTAAAATTTAAGGAGGATCCATAACTCACTGCTTGTCATTGATTACTATTGACTGATAAGGTATATTATCAATGTTGGTTTACGATGTCACGTATTGGAATTAAAGTGCTTAGCTGATATTCGATAACTTACTCTGTCAAGAAGGTATGACGTTTTTGGAACGCATGTTGGTTGCTTCAAAGTAGGTCATTCGTCAATTCTCCTCTGCAATTACCGCAATCCCCGAATCCCCACTCTCCAAATATCTATCCCTCAAAAGGCTCTTGTATCGCCTCTGGTGTTAATGAACCGCGTCGATTTCTTACCATTAGGTGATCCGTCTGCTCTTTTGCCGGCTTATTCCAATCGAGATATTTATAAAACGAAATCATGCATACATAAAATTCGTTTATTATCTAATTGGTTTACGATGTCACGTAAGGTAAATAGAGATTGTATTATTATATTTTATTGTATACTGATATAATTTCTTTATCGAGTACCTATATTGAGATTGCTACCCCTTAACGCCTAAACAAGCTGCATATATGATAGAGTAGAATGCATTTGTTATAATGCTCAATATTTCATGTAATATAAGCGGTCGCAGCGATGTCGCGCAGCCTACTGATGATGATAAGTAGGCTGCGCGACATCGACGCGCACGCAGCTCATGAGGAAGAACCCCTCTGTGGGTTGTCTCATGAGGAAGAACCCCTCTGTGGGTCGTCTCATGAGGAAGAACCCCTCTGTGGGTCGTCTCATGAGGAAGAACCCCTCTGTGGGTCGTCTCATGAGGAAGAACCCCTCTGTGGGTCGTCTCATGAGCAAGAACCCCTCTGTGGGTCGTCTCATGAGGAAGAACCCCTCTGTGGGTCGTCTCATGAGCAAGAACCCCTCTGTGGGTCGTCTCATGAGCAAGAACCCCTCTGTGGGTCGTCTCATGAGCAAGAACCCCTCTGTGGGTCGTCTCATGAGGAAGAACCCCTCTGTGGGTCGTCTCATGAGGAAGAACCCATCTGTGGGTCGTCTCATGAGGAAGAACCCCGTCGAAACTAGTAGAGCTTTTCTCGGCATTTTCTCGTGAGTAATTGTTGTTGCTGCTGTTGATGATGAATTGTGTTGATGTTGTCATGCCTAAATAGTTTTACCAAATTTTGTTTGCATTTTAGTACAATGGTAATCTGTGTCTGCAATGAAAACACAGGGGTCAAGATAAACATTATAGAACCAGTTTTTAAGAAGCAACTCATTAAAATTAAGTACAATGTTAATTAATAATATCCGTCTGGAATTTGTTGTTGCATAAGAATTTTAATGGAAACTGGCTTTGCTTGGTAACGAAAATGTAAATTATAATGCAAAGAATGGTTAGTAATTGTCTTAATGAAAGGATAGGAATATTTTTATGGCATTTACAGACTTCTAGCTTACCAATCATTGGCTTCTAATGGACTAAAGATTTTCTATGTATGAATGTTTGCCGTACCTATTCTCCATCAATATAAGGCAGGTTGTAGGTCACAGTTTAAGGATTCAGGTTCATCAGAGTGCTCTGCTGTCCGGTTTCTGTCAATATACGTCACAGTCAATTCTTTTTTTAATCTATGTTATTTTGGGCTTTTATCAATAGCCTCATTACGTCGGCTCCATCGTAACTCAATCTTATTTATCAAATAACATTTAAAAATTACTAAAAATTAATTAAAATATTTCAAATACCAGCAGTTCATCACTGTTGTAACATCATTATTCATTAGTATTATCGTGCTGCTATTATTATTATTATTATATTATTATATATTAAAATATTGGATTAGTGAGTCCCTCACCACCTTACATTTAATACACTCCACCAGCATATGATGAACATCATCTAACTTACCACATACTTCGCAGTTAGGTGAATTTACTTTTTTTAGTCAATTTTTAGTGTGTGTGTTAGTAAATATTTTGCCATTGCCACACAGCACTTGTAGTTTATCCACAAGATGGTAACTTGATCTATGATAAATTTGTTAGGAAAAACGTAGGTACATCGTATGATTGATAAAATTTATCTTCGTCCACGGCGTATCATTCAGATCCCATATAATTCTTACAGAATTCAATTCACGGATGTTTTAACATTTCGACACATTTTATCAGCCAGGAAATATCAGCTGATAAATATGTAATAAAATTGAAAGCTAGATGAATGTGTGTTTGTGATTAACTTTACTATCGTCATCTACATATTTATCAGCCCCAGATACGAAATTTGAACATACAAGTACAGTTTTATAAAAGAAATTTCATTTGCATTTTTTCTACTTTTTTATAGGTATGTATACCGGAGTCAACTGTATTTTATTAACAATATCATTTTAGCAGTAGTTATTTAGATAATAATAATGTATAGTGATGTTTATCTACAATAGTTCTACACTAAACAGGGGTGCTAACCACGATCACTAATTATCCTTGGGTGCATTTCCATATGGCATACAGGGATAGTCGCCAGTTTGTGTGTCCATTGCATTTAGATTAAAGTTGTCTAGACGGCTTCTCCGCAGTTGTCTTCGGCCCCTCATACGCCGCCCTGTGGTTCCGTGAATAGTAAAGAAACATGTAAAAATAAAAGTAAAAATATTCAACATCAACATTTTTACGAATATTTTCTCTTAAATGGTAAAATGTTGTTAATCATAACGGGTAAAACTATATCAAACATAAACCAACAATACAATATTTTCTGTAAGCATAAGCGAAATTTTTGAATATTATAAAGATAAATCCAATTACTGTTATTAATTACCTTAGCCTTAAGCCTCAATAAAATTAAATCGATTAAGTGTTATGCAAATGGCATTATGTGAGAGATAATGCATTTCGGGGATTACCGCATTATAACCTTGATTACCAAGTAATAAAATCTTTGTTATCGAAATAACCGTAATAATTTCGTTGGGCATAAAAGGTATTCTGTCAATGAATAACCTGCCATTCTGCTCAAATTTAAAATTGCCAACCCGCATTGCTTGGTGATTAATGCTCAAACCTTCTCCTTGGGTGAAGAGGCCTTTGGTTAGCAGTCGCCACTTATTGGCTGATGATAGGTACTTGTCATTAAGATAGCAGTGTTTTATACAAAACATTAATTGCTACAATACCTTGCCGTACTCGGAGTCAAACCTCATATCTCTTAAGGTTGATACCACAGGTTGTACACTAAAGACTAACGACATTCCATTAAATTTTTCTTGGTTTATTATGAGATCTCCCATTCTCCCAAATATACTTACGTATATACGTCAGCTTATACACAGTAAATCTGTGTACACGCATTTAATAAACCTGTTTAACATTTCAGAACAAGCCTGGATCCTGTCAAGGACGAAGACCCTGGAAGGTGAACCCAAGACCATCGTTGACAACTTCTTGAAGGAAAACCCCAAACTGATTGATGTCAGCGAACTTGTCCACACCGACTTCTCTGAGGAGGCTTGCAAGTACACTGACTCCAGCGTCATGACTGAACAAACAGCCAAGCCCTAAACGTAACCTAACAAAAACCTAGCAACGTAAGACCTATAATAACATCGTCACCCTATTTTTGTCACTATTATCCCATTTCAAACTCCATTCCTAACAGCATAGATATCAATTTCTATTGACGGTAATAATAGTGTCAAAAATGAGTAATTTAATTGCGTATTTATGAAATTCTTGATTGTGAAATTATTTGAAGGAACGAAATTGAGTGAAATGTTCTCGAATGTTTTTATTTATTTCGAATAAGTGTTTCATTGTGATATATAATAATGATTTTACGTAAATAAATAGTAATATCAACAGTATTATATATTATGTATCAGTTATGAGTTTATTTATATATAGAACTCTCTTAATATAATTCTATAATCCTAAGCGAATATTACCAAAACCAAATGACAATAAATTATGTATAAGTTGATAATAAATAATTTTGTGTATACGGTGTAATAATAAATACTGATTGAGCTAGGTCTAACGTTTGTGATAAAATAGTTAACCATCTTATTCATAAACACTAAATAACCTAACTATGACTATAGAATCATTTGCCATTTAATTTCAAATTAACATCTGAAATATTAGAGACAAATTGTAATTCTATAAGAAGTCACCACAGGTTAATAGGAATTTTTATGAATGAGACTGTAAAACTATTCGTCGGAAAATAAACTTTTCTATAAAAATATTATCTATTGTTCTTTTTATTATCCTGACCATTTTGATCACATTACTTTGCTAAACACAATGTCTTTTTTGTGGGATAAGCCGGTAAACGAGCAGGATCATCTGATGGTAAGCTATCGGGGTCGTCCATGGACATCTGGAACACCAGAGGCGTTACAAGTGCGTTACCGGCTTTTTATGGATTAGGAATTTGAGGAATGTTGGGGGTTCAGGGATTAGTGACGGGGAGGGGGATTGGACCGTTAACCTCACTCACATGACGAAACACAACGCAAGCGTTGTTTCACGTCGGTTTCCTGTGAAGCCGTGGTATCATTCCGGTCAAGCCGAAGCATGGCTCTCCCACACTTTCTTCTTGCGACGCTGATCATTTAGCCTCATATCCAAACAAAAAATACGAAGTTCTTCAACACGAAATGAAAAGGGCTTTAAAAGCTGTATTGCGACGTTTTACTAGTACAAATTAATCATTATTTATCAATAGATATCGAACACAAATGTTCTATACGTCATATGCCCTCGCTAGTGTGGTATGTGACATCATGCACTGTTTTTCCCCGATATGGTACATTAGGTAAGCATTCTGTTACTGGCTAGATTACACTGCTGCTAGGTACCTAGCAGCAGTGTAATCTAGCCATACGCCATAGAAATCTGGGAAGATTTTAGGGGACGAGATACTTGTACAAATATGGTTAACTCCATGCGAGAACGTCTCCAAAATGTCATCGATGCCAATGGGGGACACACTAGGTTTTAATTATAAGTAGTCCAAGTTTAACCATAATTGTAATTGATAAAAATCATACCTTGTTTTTGTTTATTAAACATTGATTTGATTATTAAAGTTTAAATTATTTTATTATGATTGTGTTGATTTGTTATTAAAACAAATAATAATTATCTGTATTGATTTATCGAATTATATTTTTGTTAATTAATTTTTGTTGATAATAAATAAAAGAGTGGTGATTTACATGTGTATGTGTCTACTTAATTTATATACCAAACACCTGCCGAAAAAAATACACACACATATTAAACCGAAAATCGTTTATCCCTGAACAAAATGAAATGGCATTTTGTTCAGGGACTTTAGAGATAAACGATGGTATGCTATTTTTGTCTAAAATTTGTTCAGAAACCTTAGAGACGAAGAATGTTTTGCTTTTTTTACTATAACTTTGTTTAGCGACTTTTGAAAAGTAATGGTCACCTACTTATGCCCTTTTATGATAATCATTCATTTCTGGCGCATGTCATGTTGAGCAATTTAGGTATAATACGTTGTACAGTGATTTTGAAAATTTAAATGTAGTCATCAACTTTTGATGCTGACTGTACGATCATTAGCTTTAAGAACTTAAACATAAAACCTATCTATCATCTATCATAATAAAATAATCCCTCCTAGACTTGCCTGCCCCTGATGCTGAATAAGTTAGTTATAAGAACTAGTATCAAGTACTTATCAATATAAAGCAAGTTAATCCTCTTATATTAAGCACATTTTTAACTATAAATTCTGATTACGACAAAACAATAATGGCGTCATACACGTGATTTAGATTCAGATTGTAGTTATGCATTCCTTATTTATTACACTACGTGTGATTTTGTCCGCGTGAAAAAAGTAGTCTAAAGTTTTTAAAAAGTTAAACTAAAAAGTAGTTAAAAATTTACTCCTTTACATCAGCTACCTGGCTAATAAAGTTCTCGTCAAAGTCGGTCCAGCCATTTCAGAGATTAGCCAAAACACACAGAAAGACAGACCAGATAGGCAGATTTTTAATGTCAGAGAACCATGCTTCGACTCCAATGGGCCGGCTTGACCGGAACGATACCACGACCTCACAGAAAACTGACGTAAAACAACGCGTTATGTTTCGTCGTGTGAGTGAGGTTACTGGAGGCACAATTAACCCCCCTCCTCCCCGTCTTAATCTTCCCAATCCCTGAATCCCCCACAGTCCTCAAATTCTCCGTAACAACACCTGATCAGGCGGCCCCGATTGCTTACTATCAGGTGATCCGTCAATTCTGTTTATCGGCTTATCCCATAAAAAACAGACAAAATTTTAAAAAATGCAATTGTCATATGTAAATTCATATACATATAGTAAAAAGCGGTTATTTTAATATTACACAAACAGACATATATAGATTTGAAAATAAGGATACGTCACATTAAGGACATTTGCTATTGGCCAGTATATTTGATTTTTTTATATCGACATCGGTTTTCAGTGATTTCGCTGAGAGATTGTCTAGCAATTATAGTCACCCCCTATTAAATGGGACTCATAATATAGGTACCATAACTGGTGAATATTTTTATTGTTACATTGAATTAAAACTTACCTTCATTCATAAAGTATAACATCTATAACCCAACGAGTATCTTATGCACCAACGTCGGCGCAGTACTCGGTAGGTTTTCAGATGATAAAATACATGACGGGTTAAAACTTCTATCACTTGATGATTAAATGTTAAATCTAAACAACAACTTTTACTTAAAATCATTTATTAACAGTCTAATACAAGATTTTCGCTCAGGATTCACCAGAAATTACTAGTAAAGAAATCAGTTTCAAATTTATTCGTGTAGGCACAGCTTGCTTCTGAGAAATCTTTGAAAACGAAAGAAGTCCTGTGTTCAGCCAGCTCTGGGTACTTGGACAGCGAATCTTCAACCTTTTTCAAGAGTTCTCCTTGAAGCTTTTCCTTTCCACGTGTCAGCACCCATGTGTAAACTGGAATTTAAATATATGTATGTATATACCTAATTATAAAACAAGTTCTGTTAGTTAAACCATTTACAACTCAAGAACGGCTTAACTGATTTGGTTGAATATTGGTGGATAGGTAGCTAAGAAAGAAAGAAAATCCCGAAAATCTTACTTGAACGGCAAAAACGGTATTGCGTGTCCGAACTTGCAGGCAGAAGCTAATTACAAATAAATCATACTGCTTGAACACATATTATTTATAAATTAATCTACCATTATAGGGATAAAATAGCTATATATAGAGGTAATATCTTTCAGTAATAGCTCGCCAGAAAACACAAAATTCTGACAACGGGTTTAATCAACAATGTAATTCAACCTTAGTGGTTACTGCATGTTAAATAACACATTAACCTAATCTGATCAAACCGACACTAAAAATAATTAAGTAAAATTGCACGGTTGGCGCGGTGGCTGTGTGTCGCGGGTTCGATTCCCGCACGGAACAACTCTTTGTGTGATCCACAGATTGTTGTTCCGGATCTGGGTGTTATGTGTATGTGAACCTGTATGTTTGTAAAGGCACCCACGACACGGGAGAAAATCCTAGTGTGGAGCAACTGAAATTTAAGAAAAAACAAATTACTTCATTTGTTTTAGTGTCGGTGAGGTATGAGGAATGTATTGAGTAAAGACAAAAGATAAAGAAATTTTCGATTTAAATATTGAAAATCCCCTAAAAATATATGTTGATGAAGTTGCAATGTAGTTATGTACCTACTCGTGAGTATTATCAGAGGTACGACACTGCTTTAAATTCCGAAATCTAATCAAAAGAATTTCGAAATCTAATCTTTAAGTAGGTACTACCCAAGCAAACCATTAAAATTATTCATATCATCATCAACAGCCTATAAGCACCGACTGCCGAGCTAAGCCTCTTCTCACACGAAAAAGGTTTGAGCATCAATGACCAGACCACGCTTGCTCATTGCGGGTTGGCGATTTCAAACTTAGAGGTATAATTAGAAATTATATGCCTAGGTTACCTCACGATGTTTTCCTTCACCGTTTGTTAGTGGTGTCTAAATAGTTTCAGAAAGTACATATAACTGGGAAAAGGTCACATCGATACTTGCAGTTGGTAGGTTTCAAACCCGCACCATTACGCATGAGAAGCGGGCGTTTCAACCTCCGGGCCACCACGACTCTTATTCATAATATAACTAATATCTTATACGTTTGTTTGTTAGTACGCGTTAATCTCAGTAACAACTGGTCAAAATTAATAAATGTTTTTGTGTTGGTTTGCCCATATACCAAGAAAGGCGATAGGTTAAAACATCACCCTACGATTTTTAAGCGCCGTAAGTAAACCGCGCAGAAGTAGGTAATAACATAACATCACGAAGAAGTGCACATTACGGCACTTAATGCCACTATATAATGTAACACCCACTTTTTACTATTTATGTTATGAGTCCCATGTAATAGGGGGTGAGCCCGACCCGGGAATTGAACCGGAGACCCCTTGCCAGGCAAGTAGGTAATAGTCATAAATAAAACGCGGCATACCGTAGTGTT